ACGACGACGGTAGGACGTAGAACGTAATGACGTCACTAAAAGTCATCTGCGCATGCGAGAACGTTAAGGTCACCTCGTCGAGTAGATTCTGGAACGCAATTTGGTCAAATCTACGTATGCAGAAAACGAAGGACGCCAGGTAGGACGGTCACGCACAAATCAAAAGCTTCCTATTATTATGCATATAAAACCCTGTCCAGACTATCAATGATTTGACAAAAACATGACATGCCTAAATAAGGTAATTATGACATCACAACATGACCATATATAGGCACATCATGACTATATATGGGCATACAACAGTTTTGTCAAATAAAATTTGATAATCTTGACAGAGCTTGACAAATATGACATCATCAAGTGCAATCTATAGATGCAATGTAACTTCTGAAAAACAATAGACTTAAGATACTGCAGAATTCCCAAATATTGTTCGCAGTGTGTTTCAACTCTGGTTCACATCTCCGAACCGTGTAATACATTATGTTAGCATTTGCACGCTTGTTTTCTCCATCTAGACCTATTTTTAGCAGGGTTAGTAATCTTAAAAAAATAATTATATTTTTTTGTTTCTGTGTATTTACTGAATTAAAACTAAATCATGTTTTTAATACATGTTCTGCTAGACGTGTTAAGCAGACTTACACCAGTCACCCGCACTGTGTTGGTACGAATGCTTGATGACGCGATGCTGTATCTGCTGTTTTCTGTGGCAGACCCAAGGTTATCGTCATTGTAATTGACTGTTGAGTGTGCTTGGTCATATTGCACTCTCCACTGGATTGCGTTGATCGACGATTATTGGCGCAAAGCTTTAAAAATCCTAGTAATTGTTATTGTCCATGATGGAATAATAGACAATAACTGGATTTGCGTCAGGAGAAACATGTATAGGTGTAATTTTGCCCTACCTGACGTGGAAATGTACCGAATACTCAGTACATTTGAAAACAACTGCGAAAAATCCTATTGATATATTTTATCTAAGACAATTTATATACAACATATTCATGACTATTTCAATCAATTTTGATTTAAAATTAGGTTGTAAAGTTTAGCAAATATCATAATTCGCAAAACAATGAAGAATGCAAACAATTTCCAAAAAATGAAAGTTTAAAAATAGATATATAGATGTTATTTAATAGTATAAATCACATTGTAATGATTAGAGGGAATGCCAGTAAACTGCTGGGAATCATTACATGATGTGCTATAAACATACCCTTTGCAACTACAGTACTGTCAAACTGCAGTAATTTCAAACTGCAGTAATTTTCAATCCACATAAAATGTGGCAAGACTGTCACAAACGTGATAAAGAATTTTTGAATTGTTTTAAAGTTCATAATAAAGCTTTGAGCAGATGAAGGCATCTTTTACTGGGAGTGAGTTGAAAAACATCCAAAAAAAAAATTTATTGTAGTACAAAATGCATAAAAAAGAAGCTTTGGTAGCAAGTTCAAGGTTATGGATGATTATTTCCTTGTTTATAAATGTGGAGGTTGAGTCTTTGCTATTTCAGAAATAGCATTCACCAGTGGAAGTTCAAAACAATCATCAAAGTCTGGAAGGTCATAAAACGATGGATCTTCCCCTTCCTCAAAATCGCTGTTACTTTTCGATTCTGGCGAAACACTCTCTTTATCTTCTAAGGCTTCTTTGTCAATGCCGACAGCAATCTCGTAGGATGGTGGAATGTCGCAGTTGGTGTAGAGATTCTGAGGCTCGGGGGGAACGTATGCACTGACTGTCCGAATATCATTGTTGCGTCTCTCTCTTTCTTGCCGTCTCTTTAGTACAATGGATACCACCAATAATGAAGCACCAACAAAACAGACCAAAGACAACATACTTGCAAGAACAATTCCAGTCAACACACCACTACTCACCCCTATTGGTAATAGAAAAAAAACCAAAAAAAAACCAGTAGTAATGGTGATAAAAATGATAATAACACTTTTACATTAATATAATATACAATTAACATTGTAGATGTTTGCACAAGGTATGTGCGCTGGAGGTAGGTGTGCTCATGCAAATTAAGTTACAGGCTTAACCAGGAGGGGATGGGGCTTTCTATAGGAGTCAGTAGTAGAGGTGGTGCTTTACATCCTGATTAAGTTCAGGAAAATCTCTTGTTTGGGTCAAGGGCCCACTGGACCAAATGCTGTTTGGCATGTTATGTCATCATTATTTTTTAATTGTTTTCAGTAAGTGCACTTTGGTTAGTAGTCGTTCAAAAAGTCAGGACCCACCCACTGTTCTAGAAAAAAAAAATGGGTTGTCACTCAGTCAAAAATATCAGAGGTAACAGTAATACACTCTTTTGGTCTAGAATTTAACCGGAATCTAAATCGTTTGCTTCGTTAAGGTCTAAAGTCAACACGGTCCCTTATAATTAATCTCCAACACAGAGCGATCGCCTTTCTATGGATGAAGAAACTCAAGGCTACACGAACTGGCCTAAGTTTTTAACGACCTTATCATAGTGAAACGATTGTATAACTTATCTTACCTAGCATGCACTTAACTATTAATTATTCATAATCATCATGTAAATGTAATTAATTATAATTAAAATGCCTAACTTGAAAAATACGTACCACATTTAACGCATCAAATTTATTGGTTTTCAGTCAATTTTCGTGAAAAACAAATAATGACAAACCGTGAGAGGGCGGGAGTCTAGTAAAATATTGATAAGTAAAGTTAGCGCAGCACTAAACTCTTTTGCGACCCTGGAGGAAAAACATCATAATAGGCTATTTATTGTACGGATTTTTTTTTCCGCTGAAGGGGTGTTTGAAGAAATAATCAGGAACGGCTAATAAGGTAGACATTCTTGAGTTAAGTATGTGTGATGTTAAGTTTTGAGGCTAGACACCGTTCCGCAACCACAGGTTGCGACCCACTTTGGGTCGTGGAAAAACAAAATTAAGTAGGGCCTACTTAACATATCTATATCTTTATTAATAGGCCTGATCACTTCAAAAGAAATACATTAGCAGCAGCAAAAGCTGAATTAAAGTATTTGTACAAAATTTAATTTTTACAAAAGGATATTTAAGTTCAATAGAAAAATACACTAAAAATCATTTAAAAATACTTTAAACATCTTTACAAAAACACATTAAAATTCATTATAAAATTAAATAAAATTCAAGGCAAAAACAAAATCAACTAGAATTTTTAAATTTTCGAGCAGTTTCAGATGGTAGGAAATGGGACAATTCTTGAAGCGTTCAGTTTTAATAATTGGAGTCTCGTAATTTCTTTTATTGCGGGCCAGTGATTACGACGACAAACGAAATCAATTCAACAAAAGTGCAATTAAGTTTCAGTTTCAGTTTATTTTTGACCAAAAGATGGTTGGGGGCAGCTTAAGCAAACAAATCACTATAACTTTTTCAAGCCAGCTGCCCCCTCCCTCATAAAATATACAATATGATAAAGATAACAATTTAAATCACAAAAGACATAAAAAACACCAATAAGGAATAAAAATTTAAAAAAAACAAGTATGTATAAATAAAAAAAAATAAATAAAAAAATAAAAAATAAAACACCCCAGAGAAATGACAATTTAAACATTAAAATTACATTGAGAAAACATAATTACATTGTGTGAAAATAAGTATGATAGGAAATGGGACAATTCTTGAAGCGTTCAGTTTTAAGAAGTAGAGTCTCGTAATTTCTTTTATTGCGGGATTCGATTGTTGAGACTTTGGGGGCCAGTGATTACGACGACAAACGAAATCAATTCAACAAAAGTGCAATTAAAGTGTGGCGTCTTCGTTAGTTTACTTTTTTGTAATGCGTGCGCTTTCACGGTTTCAAGATAAATAATATAGAGTACTATCAAAACATTTGTATACTTTAGGTATGACAATTAGAAAGTATAGTTTTGCTCATTGCAGTGTGTTGGGCTTTCAGCTTACAATCATAACGATAAAACATGTTTCTCTTCTATTTAATGTGTCTATGTCTTTGCATAACACATTCAGCAAATTCAGGAATTTATGTAGGTTATAGTAAAATGTCTGTAAAGGCCTGTTTACACTATGACGATACATGGAGGAAATATATTAAGAATTTCCTCCATGGACGATAAAAAGCTAAAAGCAATTGTTCATATAGAAAATGAAAGAAATAAGGGAAGATTTCACACTAGCACGATTCGATTACAATTTATCGTGTATAGGCCTACGATGAAAAAATAAAATCATGTTCACAAATGAAATCAAATGAAGTCATAATCATACGAAGACTCTATCGTTTTCCCATGTCGTTATCGAATCGTGCTTTTATTTTCTATATGAACAATTGCTTTTTAGCTTTTTATCCTTGATCGTTATCGTCGTAGTGTAAACAGGTTAAAAGCATTCATGCTTTTTAAATGTTTAAGTTATTCAAAAATTTGATAATTTATTTGGTTTTGTTAAATGAGTAAGTATAAGTTATATTTTCATTTTTAGGGGTTTTAAATTGATTTTTTGGCTGATGGTATCAAAAGAATCTAGTGGTTGGTTGGTATAAAACGACGGACCTGATTTTTTTACTTAATTCACTCAAACTAAAAAAACCACATTCAATAATTTTCCCATAAAATTCAGTCGAGAAATTTGCCTTAATTGGTCGCGTCTGAGTGCTTGACATATAATTTGGGTCGTGGGCTAAAAAGGTTGCGGAAAGGAATGCAAACCAGAAAAGTAAAATACAAAAATCAAAATTAAAGATGATGAGATTGGCTGGAGACTCAGTAGAACTGGACTCTGGAATTATCGAAGCAAATGAGCTATGATCTATAGGTAGTCTCAGTCATGCCATGTACCTAAGAATTAAAGGCCAACTCAGACAGCGTCGTACGACACAGCCCGACGCGATTTGTTGTCGGTTTGGTGGGGGGGGGGGGGCAGTCGTGTCGTTTAATATTGCTCACGACGGCTTAAGACTTTCACGGTTTCAAGATAAATAATATAGAGTACTATCAAAACATTTGTATACTTTAGGTATGACAATTAGAAAGTATAGTTTTGTTCATTGCTGTGTGTTGGGCTTTCAGCTTACAATCATAACGATAAAACATGTTTCTCTTCTATTTAATGTGTCTATGTCTTTGCATAACACATTCAGCAAATTCAGGAATTTATGTAGGTTATAGTAAAATGTCTGTAAAGGCCTGTTTACACTATGACGATACATGGAGGAAATATATTAAGAATTTCCTCCATGGACGATAAAAAGCTAAAAGCAATTGTTCATATAGAAAATGAAAGAAATAAGAGAAGATTTCACACTAGCACGATTCGATTACAATTTATCGTGTATAGGCCTACGATAAAAAAAATAAAATCATGTTCACAAATGAAATCAAATGAAGTCATAATCATACGAAGACTTTATTGTTTTTCCATGTCGTTATCGAATCGTGCTTTTATTTTTTTTATCGTGCTGATGGTATCAAAAGAATCTAGTGGTTGGTTGGTATAAAACGACGGACCTGATTTTTTTACTTAATTCACTCAAACTAAAAAAACCACATTCAATAATTTTCCCATAAAATTCAGTCGAGAAATTTGCCTTAATTGGTCGCGTCTGAGTGCTTGACATATAATTTGGGTCGTGGGCTAAAAAGGTTGCGGAAAGGAATGCAAACCAGAAAAGTAAAATACAAAAATCAAAATTAAAGATGATGAGATTGGCTGGAGACTCAGTAGAACTGGACTCTGGAATTATCGAAGCAAAGGAGCTATGATCTATAGGTAGTCTCAGTCATGCCATGTACCTAAGAATTAAAGGCCAACTCAGACAGCGTCGTACGACACAGCCCGACGCGATTTGTTGTCGGTTTGGTGGGGGGGGGGGCAGTCGTGTCGTTTAATATTGCTCATGACGGCTTAAGACTGTCCCCGACGAGATGAAGTGTTTACACTTGCCTGGATATTTTGGTAGCAGAGGAGTGCCTCTTCATGGGGTCAGATGGAAACTCACAACTCAAGATGGTGTATTTTAAGATCAAGTTGGTATTAAAATACGATAGTCTCGACCTGAACTGATACTGGAGTAGGAAAACTCATTCAGTTAAAGTTGTTGATGCTGCAGAGATTCAATTAAAAAGGAATCATACTGCAGATGAATACTCTAACTATGGAGGTATAAAAAAGAACTTATGGGTCGCAGTTAACTTTGGTGGGTTTCTTTAAATATGTTTGATGTATAGGCCTACAAGAAGGGTGTCTATAAAACGAAGACCGAAGACCCAAACACGAAGACCCCTATTTTTTCTCTTTCATTTTGATAATACACCAGGCTGCCACAAAATCAAAATTTTGGAAGTCTGTTTGTGACCTCCAATTATTTCTCAAGTATCTTATTGAAAGTATTTCATAATCATCATAAAACAGTTGCCAAGTACCTATTTCATTATTTCATCGGAATAAAATAAGGAATATCAAGAAATACTTAAGGGTCTTCGTTTTATAGACACCCTATATGGGTGTCTACAAAACGAAGACCGAAAACTAGAATAACGAAGACCCACTTTTTTTTTCTCTCAATCGTGATGAAAATAATGTTTTTAAAATCACTTCATACTATGTATATTTAGTATTCGTCTTTTTAGCACATTATTGCCTGAATTTGAGTCAATTTAATGATTTAGTCTTTATTCCAGTTCCAAAGCGGCAACCAATGTTGTATGTCCACGGCTGGTCCAGAGCGCGTCTTGGCGCTGCTACCCGATTGGTCTAGCGGTACCGTACGAGTATTTTAGGAGCTTACACTGGGACGGATGCAGGATTTGGCGGTAGGGGGTGCGTGAGGGTCCACCTCCCTGCCCCCACCATGGTTGGGGCTGAGGGAATAGAACATTTTGAGATAGGGACCTTT